TATCGCAGTCATACAAGAAGCTACAGAGTTCTCCCCCCTCCCTAAAAGGGCAAGGGTCGCAGGGGAACATATTAGTATGTTTTCTGGTTAGTTAACGTCATGGCACTCCGAAAGTGTGCAAAGGAAAGGATCAGGAAAGGGCTCCGGGTTGTGTGATGTGAACGATAATGAGAGCCACTCGGGGCACAGTGCCAAAGACTTTGCTAATGTTAATCACTTACGTCTGCATGGAGAGGTGAACAGAGCATGGTGTTTATAGCTACAGAATGCATCACCTTCTTTTCCGCGTGACATTTTGTGACATAGATTCCCATTCACAATCTTTCTGAAAATATTGAGAGGCGCAAGAAGTGTTTTTGGAGCAACACATTGAAATCAGAAATCTTACGTAACACAAGAGGGTGTGCGGGGTGTGTGTGTGTTGTGTGGATGCATCTCAAATGAGATTGCACTTTGTCCTTGACATGTAATTATACATTTTCAAGCATGAGTGTTCTGTATCCCCCTTTCTTTCCTGTTCCATGGGTTAACTCTATCTTCTGTCCTGTCCTGAATTCCAGTTTAACTTGGATAATTTCTAATATTTGATGGAGCCGGAGAGGCATGCTTGTTGCACTCTCCTTGCGCCACCCTCCCCAGATGTAAAGGCTCCTCATTTAGGCCGGTGTGGGATGTGGTAGCCTTGCACCTCTCGATACCAGCCTCACCAGCAAAGGTGAGATTGGGATCAAAGAGTGTCTGGCCACCGCGTCCCTCAAACCTCCCTCTCCGAGTGCTCGCAAAGCAGTACAGGACTGGTTTGGGGAGGGCGGAGGGAGCCATGCTCCCCAGAAACATGTGCTGCTCAACACTACGCCTCTGACCCACAGGGTCTCTGAAGAGCCCATGAATTCTTCACGTAGCAACTTGTAGGACTGGGAGACCACTCCTTAAAAATGTTTGCTTGATCAGAGGAACAGATGCTAAGCCTTTTAGGAACAATAGTTGTATTTCACAAGCCCCAATTTCTCACAAAGAGTAGCCTTTTGAAATAGGGTGCCCTTTCTCGATGAGATGGTTCATCCAGAAAACACCGTTGGACTCTCATCCACAATACTGAAGATCTTTGTCATTGTTGTGGGAGTTTGGATGAGCAAGGAAGGGAGGACTTGCCCACTCCTAATACATTGCACCATTGCCACCAAACTAACATAGTAGCATGAAGAAAGGGGTTAGCTATTTTATCTACAGTGGCCCACTGGGGGTAGGACTGGTAGTGCCCATACAGTTCCCACCAACTGCAATTCCCTCCATAACTAAGGATTTTTACACCTCCCAGAATAGCATTGTGCACCTTCACCAACCAAGGTGTAACTTCCTCTCTAAAGATTTTACAGAATTCCCTGCTAAAACCATCTGGTCCCGGGGTTCTTCAGTTCTGGAAAAAAAATGTGTGCGCCTTGAAGAAAAACATGATACTTCTTCTGGGGTCCTGTTCAGAGTGCTTCATGTGTCGATCAGATGTTTAATGGTTATTGTATTTGTATTCATTAAAAAAACCACAATAAAATTTGTTAGTTTTTAAAGAAAATACTTAAGGAAGTTGCCAAGCAGGCCTGGAAAGGAGTAGCCTTGGGAAATGGTCTGTGGAATGGAAGTGGCCTGGAGAGAGTTATGAGGGCCAGACAGGGAGGACTGGAGGGCAGAATCTGGCCCCTGGGGCTGAGGTTTGCTATCGCTTATGTGGGGCAAAACAAAGCAAATCAACTGAAGGAACTAAAAGCCGCAACAAACCACATGCAATGTGTTGTGAGCAGAATTTAGAATAATAAAAATATATTATTTGTTTATTTATTAAAACAAGATTTGTTAACAGACTCCAAAATCGGTGAACTAATTTGGCTTAATAGAATTTCAGAAGCATCTCTTAAGTATATTGCAGGAAGAAAGGAAGTGACCATCACCCTGAAGGCTCATAGTATTGTCTTAAGATTCCTATGTGTAATCATTTTTATTAGTTTTCAGTTATAGTAACGCAATAAATGCCTCATTGTCAATACCAAATTATAATACAACTAATAATGCCAATTGTTCAGATGCCAAATTGTATTCTTTTGTTGATCCCCTACGTGCTAGAACTGATGATTTGATAATTTACTTTAACTCTGCATTCAAAAAACTTATAAATTCCAATTACCGGTACATACAAGCCAGAAAAACAAACCCTTATACTGCAGCTGCAATTTTAACAACTTCCATTCACATTAACACCTCAAATAATTTAAAGTCCTACTACAGGCAAAGCCTTCAGACTCTCTCTTTGTTCTTCTTGTGTGTGGCTATTTTTCTGTCCATGATGTTTCTTCCTGTCCTTGTGCTGTATTATGTCCATCTTTTGTCACTTGTTGCTGTTCTCCATCATACCTTGGGCGGAGCAAGTAATCCATTGCATTGCCTTAAGATTCCAAAGGGGTATGTATGACTGCCAGGATTGTCAGCCATGATGAAGAATGTGCTTTTTGACCAGTGCCAGATTTACATATAAGCAAGCTATAGCTTAGGGCCCCACACTCTTGGAGGCCCAAAAAATTAAAGAGAAAAAATACCTGGATGTATATTTCTAAAATACAAGATAAAAAACAAATAAAATTAAACCTACATACAGCAACAGGGTTTTGTGTTCTGTAGGCTTGCTGCTATGATGTAAGTAATGGGCCCTGCCTGCTAGCCTGCTCACTAAAATATCACTGGTTTGCTCATTTCTATATATAGGGTGCCTACATTCTGCATGTGCAAATGGCTTTAGATACCTATTAGGTCCATAAATTACCATAAAGCATATATTCAACAACAAAAAAGTGACAATTGGTTGTTGACAAAGGACAGCTGGACATATGAAGGGCCCCATTACCTTCAGTAGCTCAGGGCCTCATCAAACCTAAATCCGGCCCTGTTTCTGACCCAATCAAGCAACACATAAGCAAATGTGTCTTACGTGAGCTAGGAAGGGGTATGTATCCTTCCTCATTTTATCCTCCCAGAAAAACCTGATAGGAACTTCAAAAAAAGAAAAAAGGATGTGACTGAAAAGGGAGGGGCGAAATGGTCTCACTAATTGGCATTTCAAAATATGAGAAGGCAAGGTTATCTCTAGAAAATCTTTAAGACCAAGATAAATAAATAAATATTTGGGAAGCAAGAGAGTGAAAACTGCCAGATGGCTGTATAGAATACACCCCTTTTTAAAAGTTGTATTATGGTCTGTTCAGTTGCTACCAAAAGCTTCATTGCACATTTGAACCGCAGGAGAAAAATCTCCCCCCCTCCCCCAGCGCTACATTAAAGTAATAAGTTAGTTGAAAAGGTCTTTGATGCAGCTCACAATTTTCTTCTTCATTACTCCCCTGAACCATTTATTTGCTCATTAATTTATATGTGCCTTCTCTAAAGGCACAGTTAGAAAACTTGCGCGCTGCCAATGTTCAGATCCACCTCACCCTCCCGCCTGCCCTCCACAAGGCCATCAGTATCTGGAAATAGTTCGATCCTTTGTCATTACTCCTTCAGATGGGTAGATGCAAAAGCCAAAATCATCTCGTCTTTGAAAATGCATTTGATACACTTTCCCATCTTCTGTGATAGTATGGGAGTCATTATTGCAGCAGTTGGCTCTGACACGCTTGCACAGACACAAATTGAGTCCGACAGGACTGATGTCTCATGGACTTTGCTGTCATTCGAAATGCTGGCACAAAGATGGTAGCGGTGAAAGCAGAGAGCTGGTGCTTTCAGCACGTTGAGGGTTTCTGAGGGTTTTGTGTTTTGTGTTAGGTTTGTGTTTTGTGATAGCAGCAATCAAATCAAGAGATGGTTTTCCATGAGCTTTATTAAAGCTGAGTTCTAGTGTCTGCTTCTCTTTTTCTTATCTCAAGTAGATTTTTAATATTATTCTGTGATCTAAAACAGGCTCTTCATGCCACCCACGGATCTGTAGCAATCCTTTTCAGTAGAATAATAATTAGTATTATTTTCTCTCCCCTGTTTCATCTTAATCTTTCCTTCATGCAAGCAATTCTTGCATTATGATATAAATAGTATTTTTTTCCTATTGTGCTTGTTTCAGACCTGCCAAAGCATATATCTTACCTCTGCTTAGAAAACCACAATTAAATTGTAGAGTTATGTTAGTGGCATAGATCTATTTTTGGATATCTCTAGAATTTCCTGTTGGAGGCGATGCGTTTTGTGTGTGTGTGTGTTATGTTTCTGACATAGCTTGGTTGGAGTGAATAAAGTAGAGTCAAATTGATTTCTTCTTAAAGGCAGATGTTCATGCTGTATTATTCATTAGTTCTTATACAAGATACAAAATTAAACCGACTGAACAGGAATATGTAATCTTTATTCATAATTTATCCATGAATTATATAATTCGCGTTTAGTGATAAATCAGAGAGGAAACAATAACAGTTCTGTGTGGACAGATTTTCAAGATGCCACACCAGATAAGACTTCGTTGGATTAATCCACAAATACCAATATCCTAGCCTTGCATATAGCGCATTAGGAACAGAAGCAGATTTAGCTCTGTCATTCTTACCTGATGCAAGGAAATCAGCTTCCAATATGTTGTTTGTTAGCAGGCTTTTGTCCTGGAGGTTGAATCCTTCTAAACCCTTCTTTAGAGTATCTGTATGGCTTATTCCAGCTGAAGTATTAAAGTAGGACATCATTAGGAATGACAGCTCATTTTCGTGATGTGGGGCTAAGGAAAGGAGACTCTCCACAGCACATAGGAACTGTTGATCACAACCTGGGTTACAAGGTGCCTTGGAAAAGAACATAGTGGCTGTTAAAATGTGCTGTTCTCGGGTTATTTTACCAGGCTAATCCCAGCCTTCAAGACTGGAATCCAATGCTTTTATCTTGCTCATTATAAGTGTGCATTGTTTATGTATTTGGAAAGGAAGGAGCAAAAACATTCTAAATATTTCTCTCTCTCTCTTTCTTGTTCCTCTCAGGCTTTGAAAATTCTTCATCTGGAATTTCAGATTGGAGAGACTCGCAGTGGTTTATAAGCCAGTGATCGAAGCCGCCAAAGTATGCTGGTGCCAAGCTGTCGGAGGATGCATGTAGCCAGGCCAGTAGTACTGCTCCTCTGCTTCCTGCTCTGTGCTGATGCTGAAAGTAAGCTCTCCCCCGTCTACTTTTTTCACCCTTGCAAATAAAATATTGGCCGTAATGAAGAGTTCTGTTTATGGTCGGCACATTCTGGGGGCTTGTGAATAATCTTGCTTTTGACTCAGTCTTGAGACACTGTGGGATCCACCTTGGCTCTCAGCCAGTGTTTGAAAGGGATTATTTACTGACTTCCCTACTATTTTTTCCTGCAGTTAATACCCCTTTTCTTGAGCGTTGGAGGGTTCCTACTGCTCTCTGTTTGCTTGTGATCAGTCATTTCAAAGAGACAATGCGAGCAAAATTGTGTAGCCAAAACAAAACCTAACCTTGCTTGCCAGAAGGCAAACATCACTTAGTCTTACTAGGTATTTTTTCCCCCAGTTCCTTGGATATTTTCTTTTCAAGCTCTGAAAAGACAAACAATGCAATGTTGAGGCCAATTAAAATTCCAGGTCCTTTGTGTCTGTCACAGCAGCTGTTGTAATGTATTATGTCCAACAGCTGTCGTGGAGTACAGTATTTGAAGAAACCAAGCAGAACTGTCAACTTTGAGGCTGGGCTTTAGAGTGTGGAGACTTTGGTGTACTGCAGGCACCTAGGTTTTAAGTCCAGGACTCATATTGTGGTACTGTAGAGTTTTGGTCAATTAGCTTGCCAATTAATGAGAAGATAATATCTTGTCCCAGCTGTCTTCTGGCTTTCCACATTGAACAAGGAGGGAAAACCCCTCTTGCGTGAACTAGTTGAGGCAGGTTTGTCTGTATTCTGGTGACATCACTTGAACTCTCAGCATTTCCCACTGGTAACTTCTTTGAGCTAATTTTGAGGGAATCTTTAATTTGGAGGGGCTTTGTAAGCACCCAGGGGAATCACTTTAAGAAGTAAACAACCTGAGTGCTAAAATATTACATCACATTGTAGGTATCGTTAGCAAGCATTGATACTCCTTACTTGTCTCTTGGGTTCAGCATGGACAATTGTTTTTTGAACATCTTCGTCAAGAAAGAAGTATGGTATATAGTGTGCTCTTACTGTCACACTTTGATTCAAGTTAATATATCAATGAGTGTACTAAGCTGCAGATTCTGGTGGCTGTTCCTCGTGGTTTTCCGTTTTCAATCATGTGTACAGAATAGTCTGAAGTTAGGTTTAGAGTGAATGAAATTTAGAAAGCAAACACTGAAAACACACATTTGTAAATTAATGACAGTGGTGAATGTTGGACCTCTTCCAGATAGTTAAATGACCAGCTGGGATGTTTGTGCATAAGGTGAAGCCAAGGACATTTTAACACTTCAGCCAATAAATAATGAACTGGGATATAGCCCAATCTTTTTTCAATTAGGCATTTTAAGAGAGTCACTTTTTTAAAAATGTGGAAATTGTTCTTAAAGGACAATAGATTAAAAATATATATCCTGAAGTTTTGCCAATTGTACAATGATCATGATGATAGAACTGGAGAAAAAATTGTCACAAGTCAGATAAAACTTTGCAAAGATCACAGGTTTTTTGTTGTTGTTTTTTTAAAAAGTGAAACAAAGTTTAAACCTTCCCAGTAGCTTTTGGAAATGAACAAAAGAACAACTGTTTCAACAGTTTGTTTCTTTTTCCTTTGTTAAGCATTTGAACACAGAAAAAAATATTTTCCTGAGAATCGCTAGCAGATTTACTTTTTAAACAGGCAATTTTGTAATAAAGTGCTTTCAGATTTCCTTGCTTTGCAAATCGTTGTTTTCAGCATTCTGTTCCTTATTGCTCAAAACAAAATAAAATTTGGCAATCAGCTATTAAGCACTGTGGGTTTTGACAAGAGGCTTTTGTTTCTCTTAACACATTTGCTTCTTTGGAGTAGTTCGTGAAACTGCCGACTTAAGGATAATAAGTAGGTCTGGTTGGTTAGTTTCCAATTAAGTATTTCCCACTGGAAAATGTTTCTCTGAAATTTCTTGCTAGCAGAAATATCATTAAATGCTCTGTGGGGAAAGTTATCACCCTCCCATGCTAATGTTACATTTTATAGACCCTGAGTATCCAAAGTGCATTATGGGAGTTGAATTTTGCAGAATCCCTCCTATTGCCTCCAGTCATCTGCATACTTGTCTCATACAGAAATAAACATACAGTGGTACCTCGGGTTAAGTACTTAATTCATTCCGGAGGTCCATTCTTAACCTGAAATTGTTTGTAACCTGAAGCACCACTTCAGCTAATGGGGCCTAATGAGGTACTACTGTATACATATACAGGTGATGTATTCTACACAAGGCAGAAGCCCTCGCTGGTTTAAGATTGGGGTATCTCCTGTTCAAGTCTGCCCAAAGGCTGAGACAACATTCATAGGCCCTGCTGGTTGTCCCCATTTGCCTTTCTCGATTGGGATCAGGGAGAATGCTTTATTCGTGACTCTGCCTATGCTTTGAAACTCCCTTCTGAAGGAGGCAGTCTCACCTTCCACTTCTTTAGGAGCCTTCTGAAAGATAGTATACACTTTCCTTAAAAAAAGAGGGGGGAAAGCATTTTTGTTTCTGGATGGTTGTTTTTATAATATTTTTAATCTGTTGGTGCATTATGATTTAGTGTTAAGTGCTGGTAACTTAGGTGTTAAGTCAGATGTTAAATTGTAGTATTATTATTTTTTATGAAGAAAGGTGGAATGGAAATGTGTTTTAAGTGCATAGTATACATTAGTTACTCCTGCCAACCTAGCAGTTCGAAAGCACGAGGTGCAAGTAGATAAATAGGTACCGCTCCAGAGGGAAGGTAAACGGCGCTTCCATGCGCTGCTCTGGTTTGCCAGAAGCAGCTTAGTCATGCTGGCCACATGACCCGGAAGCTGTATGCCAGCTCCCTAGGCCAATAAAGTGAGTTGAGCGCCGCAACTGGACCTAATGGTCAGAGGTCCCTTTACCCTTTACCTTTGTACATTAGTTATATATGTCCCTTTGTGTTTGTGTGTGTAATACTGAGCCTCTTGCGCTTGCTGATCAGAAGGTTGACGGTTTGAATCCCCATGACGGGGTGGGCTCCTGTTGCTCTGTTCCACCTCCTGCCAACCTAGCAGTTCAAAAGCACAGCAGTGCAAGTAGATAAATAGCTACCACTGCGGTGGGAGGGTAAACGGTGTTTCCGTGCACTCTGGTTTCCGTCATGGTGTTCCGTTGCGCCAGAAGAAGTTTAGTCCTGCTGGCCACATGACCCAGAAAGCTGTCTGTGGACAAATGCCAGCTCCCTCGGCCTGAAAGCAAGATGAGCGCCGCAACCCCATAATCGCCTTTGACTGAACTTAACTGTCCAGGGGTCCTTTAACACACACACACACACACACACACACACACACACACACACCCCTATGGGCTGCTGCTTCTGCTCCTGTTGCTCACAAACCTGCCTACCCGCCAATCCCTTCCCTTTATGCTTTGCCCCAAACTCCCTCCTTCTTCACTTGCAGCTCACCCCTCAAAACCCTCTGCACTTCACAGTTCACCAACTACCCCCCTCCCCAGTCCCACTCAATGCTGTCACTGCTAGGGAAAGCAGAATGAAGGGCATATCTTTTTCCACCCACTCCCCTGATGCTGTGACAAGCAAGTCTCTTTTTCGAAAGGCAGGCTTCCTTCACCTGGAATGCCATCAATGCTTTGTGTGTCCCCCTCCATTGACATATCTTTGGGGCAATGCGAAGGGGAGAAAGACTTCTCCTTCCCCTGATTCAGTACAGGGAAGGAAGCCTGCGGTTTTTTTTAATTGCAGGCTTCTTCCTTCTCACAATGGTGACACCAGGGGATTGTGAGAAGGCCAGCCTGGGCCACCCACTTTCTCTGCACTCCTCACTTCCTTCCCTGCTCTTCCTTTTGAATATGATCTACAAAACATGTTCGCATTCCAGCCAGAGTTAAGCACCTTTGTGTCCCATTAATGTAAAGATGGGGCAAATTTAATTAGGTGCTTGACAAGGGTCATATCCCATGGAGTGTAACCCTTAACCTCCTGCTCTTTGCATTGCAAATGGAAGCAGCGGAAGCGATCAGGAAAAGGGCATTTAAACCTTTCCAATTTCTCCATCCCAGAGTTTCAGAGCCACGTTTACTTACGAAAACACATAGAAACCCGACAGGTATAAAAGCAGTTGTGGGAGAGGAGTTGTAGCAAAATAAAAGTTGTGGACAGGGGAAAAATCAAGGAATCATTTCTTGTCGATTCTGCACTGAAAATTGCCTTCTCTTTGTGTTGCTATTCTACAAAGAAGTAGGCACCCATGTTTTCTGGTGTCCAGTTGCCTGCAATGTGCACAATATTTACATCAGATATACAAGAGAAAGAAGTTAACAAACTGCAAAATTTTAGCTCTATCCTAAGAAGAGATAAGTTGCCAGACATAGCTTTTGATTTTTAACTTTCCCACCATTTACAGTGGTACCTCAGGTTACATACGCTTCAGGTTACATACTCTTTAGGTTACAGACTCCGCTAACCCAGAAATAGTGCTTCAGGTTAAGAACTTTGCTTCAGGATAAGAACAGAAATCGTGCTCCAGCGGCGCGGCGGCAGCAGGAGCCCCCATTAGGTAAAGTGGTGCTTCAGGTTAAGAACAGTTTCAGGTTAAGTACGGACCTCTGGAACAAATTAAGTACTTAACTGAAGGTACCACTGTATTTGGAAGGAAAACAGAGGGAGCTGCTTGTGCTTTGAGCTCCAAAACCCATCCCCCCATGGAAATAAAGACACAGTGGAGACAGAATTTAGTTTAAATGCTAATGGGCAAATTTTGGCCACAACTTTATTAAAATACACAAATGTGACTGGTATTGGTTTAGGCATTGGTATCAAACTATATCTGGCTCCTGCTCCACCCTGCAAGAAGCCTGGAAGGGTAAACAACCAGCAGAGGGATCTCCGTCAGTGTATATTGACTAGTGCTCACCCCTGGGGTTCCGGGGGTCCTGGCATGGCCCTAGCCCCTCTCCGGGCTTCGGACGAGATCCAGACCCCCAGATTCCTTTAAC